CCGAACTGTGCGTCTAGGCCGGATGGTAACAGGATGCAGGGGACACAATGTTTTACCTAGGTTCGGGCCCTCTTGATGGAGGTAAAACCCTACGTCCTGCTTGACTAATATTGATGATATGGGTAGTACAAGAGTAGATCTACCACGAGATCAGAGAGGCTAAACCCTAGAAGCTAGCCTATGGTTTGATTGTATGTTGTAGTTGTTGTTCTACAGACTAAAACTCTCCGGTTTATATAGACACCGGAGAGGGCTAGGGTTACACAAGGTCGGTTACAAAGGAGGAGATATCCATATCCGTATTGCCTAGCTTGCCTTCCATGCCAAGTAGAGTCACATTCGGACACGAGACGAAGTCTTCAAACTTGTATCTTCATAGTCTAACAGTCTGGCCAATGGATATAGTCCGGCTGTCCGGAGACCCCCTAATCCAGGACTCCCTCAGTAGCCCCTGAACCAGGCTTTCAATGACGATGAGTCCGGCGCGCAGTGTTGTCTTCGGCATTGCAAGGTGGGTTCCTCCTCCGAATACACCATGGAAGAATTTTGAATATAAGGATAGTGTCCGACCCTGCAAAATAAGTTCCACATACCATCGTAGAGAGAATAATATTTCCACAAATCTTCAATCTGCCGACACGTTTTGGCAACATGACATTACATCACGGCCCGGTGATTATTCAAACAATTTCCTTTAATTAGCCCCACACATAACGCGAGGCAGTTTTTTGACACGTCTTGTCAAAGCAGAGATCGTGTCCCCTTATTACGGGATTCTCATCAATACGGGTGTGGGTAACCCAACCGTGTCTAGGACTCCTAGATTATAGGCAAGTCCAAACGGCTACGGCAAGGACGCTTGATATTCACCCTCTTTATAAAGGGATAAGGCTTTTACTTTCCCCCTCCCGTGCTCAATCGAATCCTTCCCCCGCCTCGAATTCTAACACCCAAAGCCCAGGTCAGGTGCTCCGAACCTTCAATCATGTCCGGATCTAGCCTTCAAGGCCGATGGATGCCCTCCTCCGTTACGGAAGAAGACATCAAGAAGTTGGGGGAGGCCAGATACCTGACCGCCGAGGTTTCGCATCGGCTGCCTGCCCGAGGGCAGGTTGTCCCTACTCCTGAACCCAACGAAGACATTGTGTTCATCTCCCACTTCCTCTGAGGCCTAGGCCTTGCTATGGATCCCTTCGTCTGAGGCTTGATGTTCTACTACGGGCTAGATTTCCACGATCTAGCCCCGGACTCCTTTCTCCACATCTCGACATTTATTGTCGTGTGTGAGGCCTTCCTTCGCATTACCCCTCACTTCGGCCTGTGGCTCAAGACCTTTGAAGTGAAGCCGAAGATGATCGAGGGGCAACATGCAGCGTGCGGAGGCGCGTCAATAAGCAAGATGGCCGGAGCTCCGTGGCAGAAATATTCCTTTCCCGAGGTGTCCGGATTATGGCAACGGGAGTGGTTTTACATCATGGCTCCCAGAAGTGCCAAGTGGGTGGCTGCCCCTTCTTTCCGCTCGGGCCCTCCACCACAACTGATGTCATGGATTAGCATAGGGCTGAGCTGGGGTCCCACCAAGGACGTGCCTGTACTGCAAAGCCGCATCCAAAATCTCTTCGAAGGAGATTTCAGTTTGATTATGGTAATGCAAGTCATGTTGGTTCGACTAATCCAGCCATGCAAACGCCGGTCCCTCCGCATGTGGGAGTTCAACCCAGAAGGGCCGCGTACAATTCAGAATTTCCTCGGCCTGACGCACGAGGAGATGTACAAATCATTCTTCGGACCCCAAATAGAGTGTTCGGATACTACCGAGGACGTGGGCCTGAGCAGCAATCGCACCGCCGACCAAGTAAGTAATCCTTCGGCCGAACACACCATCTTTTATTTACCATGACGTCATTCTGAGAAGTCGCCCTTTGACCAGGACTGGCTAACAAAGGCGAAGATGATTCGGTGTTCGGCCCCCCTTCCTGAGGGTTTGGAGAATCCGGTATTGGAAAAGATGCTCGAGCTAGCACCCTGCCTGGAGCCCTCAAAGGAAGATAAAGGGGGGAATGATGAGGTCAAGAGTGGGCCCCCATCGCTGCCAATCCCAAACGAGGGAATGAGCACCTCCGTGAAGGAGGATAACCAAGGAGAAGAATCTGACCTTCTCTCGCTTCAGGGAAGGAAGAGGACTGCCCCTGAAGATCCGGAAACCGAGGCTTCCAAACGGGAGAAGAAATCCCCACTAGAGGGTCCTGCCTTGGAGGGTGTTTTTGCCGCACAACGTCCGCGCGAGGATCAGCCCTCCAACGAGCTGTAAGTAATTAGAAAGTACTTTAATAGTGAAGATATATTACCTTACCTCTAAGGAAAATAACCGAAGTGTTTATCTCGCAGTTCTGATCTAAGCCCTTCTCAGCAGAGCTCATCTTCGGGGGATCTTCTTCCGGAGATGATGGAGAGCGAAACGCCTCTCCCGGACTCCTCTGCTCAAGAAGCGGGCGACCCTAAAGTGTCATCACGGAGGGCCTCTTCGGATCTGGTGAGGCCAGAAGATGATCATGTAGCCACCCGAAGTCCTCAGCATCCGGCTTTTGAAGAGAGCAAACAAAAGAGTCCGTCACCGTCTGGTATGCGGTCGGACATACTGATGGAGCTGCTGGAGCGAGCCACCATCTTAGAGGAACACCGTACGTTAATGAGTACGGTGGTGGAAAGAATTTTGTCCGCCGAAAGCGGATTGCATGAAGCTTTTATGAGTCTACTGGCGGGCTTTGAGGTACGTGAAATGATATACTTTTTGATAGTACCGCACATGTTAGGTGTGCCCTGTGTAGATAGTAGCCCCTGAGACTCTGGTTGTCGTCGAGAACGGCGGCGAACAGAGGATCGTAGTCCCGGGCAATAACCATACCGCTTTAATGTGCAGGTAATGGGAGCTCCGGTGGCTAGCCGGACTCATGAATTTGCCGAACTAAAGCGGCAACTAGATGCGGCAGACGCCGACATCGAGCTTGTTAACAGGCGGCTTGACGAGTCACGGGGTAAGTAATGTTTTCCTGGTGAATGTTACATAATAAGAGCAGCATGATGCCAGTATCTTTAATATGTTGTGATTGCAGACGGAGCTGCCACTGTGGATACCCTTTGGGCGGAACTTGCCCGAGCCAAGGAACAAGCGAGAGTTAGTAATGCGGCTGCTTTGGAGGCGGCTGAAGAGTTAAAAGCTGAGAAAGCCGCGCATTGCGAAAGCAAAGAGAAGATGGCCAAGATGACCGCAAAAATTAAAAGACACTGCCGACCGTTGCCAGTTCCTTGAAAAGGAGAACCGTGTGAAGGCAGCGGATGTTGAAAAGGCCATGATGGTGACCAAAGACACTCGCTCTGCTATGAGGGCGAAGAAGGAGGAGCTGCGCGAAGCCGGGGATATTGCGGCTGGGAAGCCCTTTCTGCTGCAACGGAAGTTCGGATATCCACGGTATGCCCCTCTGGATCGGCTGTGGAGTTCGGCAGACGCATATATGGACTTGGCGGCGAGCGCTGTCGATGCGGTCGAATACTTCCGAGATCGGACAGATCATGAAGTGGACAAGCTGTTCTGGTCGCAATTTAACATTCCAGAGCGTCCGCTTCCCTTGACTGATCAACTAGCCGAATGGGTCGAACTTAATAGGTTGTCCGGACTTGCCATGAGGTCCGTCGTAGATCATTTGTGGCCGGAGAATCCGAAGCCGAACAGCTATTTCAGCTTGGTGCAGTAGCTCCTTGGTGCGGTGCTGCGCATCAACGCTATGAAGAGGTCGGCGTGCATAGAAGGCTCGCGGATGGCCCTTACCCGTGTTAAAGCATACTGGGCGGAGATGGATGCTACCACTGTTGCGGCGCAGGGTTCGGCCATAGGCCGAGTGGCTGCCGAGCACTATTTCGAAGAGGTTCTCGAGGGTGCTCGTTTGATAGAGTCCCAGTGTTCGAAGAATATTATGTTTGAGTGACATGTATTCCCATTGTAAACACAATGTTTTTATGAAATTTATTAAGGCTGTGTTTTATACTTTTGCCTGAAAGTAATATGATGCCTCCTGTGCGGCCGTTTATGTATACATGTGTATAACCTGAAAGATTGCAGTCGTCGGCTTCAACCCCCACGCATATAATGCGGAGGTTCTCACAAAAAACGCGTATTCACACTTAACCCAACGTCTTGGTCCTATTAACACTACTAGAAACTACGATTTACCTAGAGCCATGTACCCTAGGTGAAATCCCAAAAACCATAGGTAAAGGCTTTACCTAGAGCTTGCCCTAGGGAAATAACCTTAGGTAAAGTATAGTCGGTAAAGAGCTCTTTCCCTAGAGTGCACCTGCCAAGTTCTAGGGAACCATTGTTTACCTAGGGCTGCAAGCCGTAGGGAAAGAATTGAACTTCTTGTTGGTCCACGGTGGAAAGGTGATTCACCTACAAGCAAGTTTGGCTCTAGGGAAAGATTGCAGGGCCCTTTTGAATCATGCCATACAAATATGCAATTCGAATTTAAATTAATAGCAGCATAATTCAAATAATTAAATTTTGCGCCATAATTCAAATTTATAAATTATAGCCAGAATTGAACGTCCACATCACATTCATGGTCAATTACACATAATCGGACTCCAGTTCAGTACAGAGCCAGACTTTTGAAAAAGAGAAAGCTATATGCTATAACTAGCAGAATACCTAAATCACCAGTACAGGCGTTGTCAAGCCGAAGTATCTGGTACTACACAAAACTTGTAGCAACATGTTATCTATACATGCACCAAGTTGGTCTTCAAACAGACACAATCCTTCCCTCCAGTCTCTGGTTTGTGACTCTTGTCAAAACAACACAACATCATCATCATCATCATGTCAAAATCGCCGGGAAAAACCAAATGCTCCTTTAAAAGCACCATCATCATCACTCGCAGTAGGGCCTAATCACCGAGTCAGCACTAGCAGTGAACAACCACGGCTGCCTCAGGTGGAATTTTTAATCCAAAACCCCTGCATGGTAACGAAAGCAAAACACCACTATGCTTCAGATTTTCCAACGAGAAACATTACAGTAATTTAAGCCACTGTCTGCTTTGATGAAAGTTAGATATTTCTATGAGTGCAAACAAGAGTTCACGAAAGAAAGGACATGTAACAATATACCTCTTCTATCTGAACTTAGATGGCCATGAAGAATCTCCAACGGCACAATAAGTGGGTTCTGGTTCAGATCAGTGTATATCATTCCGTGGAATACATAGGCTGTACAATCCTCTAACGATGAGTCGAAGAGAGGGTACCTCCGGTGGAAAGTGACACTCGTTGTATCCATCAAGTGGTTCCTGAAACAAAGAAACTGAATTACTACAAGATATATAAATTCAGATAGTAAAGTATAACTAGTGGGTGCTATCCAAAAATGGACTGTATCTAATGGCGGATTTCAGGGAAAAGAAAGGCAATCACTAGAACCGGAAAAAACATGAGAACATTTTTTTGCAGTACAAACCATTCAAAAAACTAGACTAAGCAGTGGAAATCACTAACATCTAACAGAGAACACTTATGCACATAGTGGTGCTACCGAGAAGGAAATAAATGTTCAGCTTGACTTCCAAGGCGGGTGTAAAGGAGTAACCTGTGGCCAACATCAGGTTGCAAAACATGTGGCCCTATAGTCAATGGTTACCCAAGTATTTAGTACTCCCTCCGTCACAAAATGTAAGACGTTTTTTGACACAGAGGGAGTAAATGATACATAAAACACTTCGTAATAAGGTCCATATCAAGCACTATATTGTCAGAACTTATCTGAACAAAGAAAAACTAAAACAATAGCAATCAACTGCCTAAAACACTAACCTTGGCAGTGTAAACACTAGCTAACAAAAGAAACATTAAGGATCAAGAGGTTGGCTGCCCTGGACCTGGAGTGACAAGCTGAGCAAGCTACTTCCAGATGCACTGATAAAACTCCATATATCATGTAGCACCTGGTCACGCATTAGATTCAAATCTTGTGCAGCAGTATCCAGTGTGAGATTATGGTCCTGAAATTAATGATGGCCTGTAGTTTACCACTTAGTTGTAAGACTTGAATATTTTGGTAGAAATTTTGGCAGCATAATAATTGTAATTGTGACAGTATGGACATAAAACAAGAGAACGTAATCCCTCCCCACACCCGCATAGCCCCATCATAAAAAAATCATGATCGTGCTTCCTATATAAGCATGCATGTAAGCACAATAGTGCATATGACCACACATCACATAAGCATGCATACCAACATCAACATTGCAGGAACATACATAGTTTGTATCATTTGTATTTCCAGAAACTTACATGATCTGTGTGTTGTTGTGCATGCTCTCCTGCTTCAGCTCGTGCTCGAACTCCAGATCCACGAGCTGCAGGGCAGGCCACCTTGGCGGACTAGGCTCCAATCCGGCCACCACTTGCTGGTACGTGCATCAGGCCATCAGATCAGCAAAGTATGCTACTTATCCCCTCCCCTCTCTCCCCTTCTCCCTATTCTTCCTCCCCCTACCCGTCTCTGTTGTGCTCTGTTTCTTCTCTTATGTTTTCTGAATTTCTCATGTACATGTACTGGCTGCTGCTATATATAGAATTGCAACTTGCTGTCATTATTATGTTGTGGAATACGGACTTATTTTTCATTGTTCATGCACTCTGCTTTGGAGAAAAGGAGACAAGCAGGTGGGAAAACAATCTGTACTACATGGGCAAACCATGTAGTCATGTACTCATTTACTACTGATTTAATTTGCTAACATTCGTCATAAGATAGTGTTTATGCTGTCGCCACGCCATACACCATAATCATTATAATGTTATAAAGGGGGTTGGTCGCCATAAAACGCGTTACGCCATAAAAACATTGGTGGTTAGTTCCAAAGAATCGCAAGTACTCCCTCTGTACAGAAATATAAGAGCGTTTAGATTACTCTTTAGTGATCTAAATGCTCTTATATTTCTTTACGGAGGGAGTACATTGATAATCTCAAACTACATAACATCACCTCAAGAAGTTTCTCTGCGCAAGAGCTTGAATTAGATGATGGTATCCATCAACCATTAGACCATGACCATCGGTAAGACCATGTCAATCTATTTCTAATTTTCTAAACTTACTCTTTTTTACCGAATAGAATGTATATAACTACTGGGTAGATTATGCAATTGTACTCGAATTAATAATGACTACTTGATAATAGTTCAGAAATAATGTCACATGATTATCCCCATGTAGTCTATCGATCTCCTGAATATTCAGATTTACAATGAAAGAAACATATTTCTCTACAGTGAGCAGGCATTGACAATATGTAATGTGGAAAATTTCTTGATGGTAGCACGAGTTCTGGCACGCAAGTAAAACCATAGAGCGAGAGAGATAAAGGGAACCTGTCGGAGAGAAGGAGGGGCTACGATGTTAGGTAGATCTGGTGGTAGTCCAGCTACCAGCCGGGGCAAGGTCACCAGGGGGAGGGGGCGCCATCCCGGCTGCGTGGCCATGGTTCCATTGGAGCACTGAAGGTATGGAAGGGGAAGAAGAGGGGGCACGACTGCGCAGTGCGGCATGGGGCACGGCCAAGCGACGGAGCACACAACAATAGTGCGGTGATGCAGCGGCTGACACGGCGAGGCGGAGGAGAGGCAGTGCGGTGGTTGGGCGGGGGACACGATGGGGCGTAGGTGCGGAAGGGGACAGGGTGGGTGGCGGGGAGACGGGCGGCGGTGGGACACAACAGTCCGGCAGGGGGCACGACGGGGTGGCTTGGAGGCGAACAGTGGTCAGGAACGGCAGGACTGGGGGGTGAGCGCATATGAATCTTGGACCGGAGATGCTTCGGGAGAAAGGGGGATATTTTGGCTTCTTGAGGCGCAGGGATTTGAGCGAGGGAAGGAGACCCAATCGGCCAGAATTTTGGTACATATACGCGCCCTTTCTCGCTCTCTATTCATCATTGCTCACTGAGCAGTAGGCCCAGCTACACGAAAAGGAAAAAGAGAGCGCGAGCTATCCAATTAAGTGGTGCGAAGAAGACCGAAGATGCAAAAGGAGTCCAGCTACATGCCACAGTGGGGCCTCCCAGCATGTGTTTCTTAGGCTTGATGGCATGTCAATGGGTCAACCCTAGGGAAAGGATATTGTCATACATATTTTTGTCGAAAAATCATCTTCCCCTAGAGTACACTGTTCATTGCTTTACTATCCCTTGAGGGGGGCAATAAACTCTAAGGAAAGACTTTGGCCCTAGGTAAAATGGTGATTTCTAGTAGTGTAAGGAGGTGATAGCGCAGCGAATGAGGCAACCGGACTATAGTGCTTTAACACTTTCACTTAGCCATAGGAGTTTGACAGTGGGGCTACTAGATAGCCCCTGGTGGCTCCGCACTCCCGATCTCGGGGTGCGTACATGCCTGGCCGGGAAACGGCCATTCGTTAAGGCGGAGGAATTCTATCATTCCGATAGGTCATCGAGTGGTTGACTAGTCTCACGCTATATCATGACAGTCAGTTTTCGACTTTCTCTACTGAGGTGCTCGTCCGGATGAACCAGGGCACAATTGCAGTAGTTCTCCTGGTGCTGCCTTAGCCGATAAAGCGGAACGTAAGGCACCAAAACACAGGAGCCGGGCAAACCCAACATTTGACCAAAGAAAATGATTCGGAGCTGATGTATATAAGGCCAAACTCGCGACGCCGAACACTCCCTAAGGTATTCGGTCTTTATGGTATAAACTGGGCCTAAATAGTGCCCTTTGTAAGAAGCCCCTTGTGTCTAGGTACGTGCATTATTCTGACGTGACCACATGCCAAGATGTCAGCATCCTTCTCAATTGTACTAAGAATTCGAGGGATGTGTATCAACAAGAGACAGTAAAAAGGTTTACGCAGGGTCTTAATCTAAAAAGAATCCTTGGAGCGGGTCCCTGCTGCACGTTTGCGCCTGTGTCTCCGTTGTGCCGTATCCCGGACGGGTGTAGCACGATGATCGTCTGTAAAAGAGAGGAACTTAGGTGAAGAAGTTGTCGTGCAAAAAGGTAGTTTTTAAAGAAACCGTGTATAACTAAAAATGAATAGAAATTGCCACTTGTCTGCGCACGTTCAGCCCCCTTGTGTTTGTAATAGGGGTGTGACCATCAATCCGGTACAAATTACATATAGCAGCGCCAGACTCATTCTCTTCGGTGAGGCCGTTTTTAGTGTGCGACTGCCTTGGCAGTCGCATTCTCTTCGGCGCGCAAAGATCGCTTAATATTTACGTTCACTGTAATGATGCCACGTGGACCGGGCATCTTGAGCGTGAGGGAAGCGTAATGCGGTATTGCATTAAAGCGAGCAAAAGCTTTGCGTCCAAGTAGTGCTTGATAACCGCTTTGGAACGGAGCAATGTGAAAGGTTAAATTTTCGCTACGGAAGTTATCGGGGGAGCCGAACGTAACTTCTAGTAGTAGGGAGCCCGTGCGATGTGCCCCTGGGCCTAGCGTTACTCCTTTAACGGTAGTATTGCTGAGGCAAATTTTCGTTGGGTCTATCCCCATTTTGCGGATTGTGTCCTAATATATCAGGTTTAGACTGCTGCCACCGTCCATCAGGACTCGTGTGAAGTGGTATCCGTCAAATATTGGGTCTAATACCAAGGCAGCCCATCCTGCGCGTCGGATACTTGCTGAGTAATCCTGATGGTCAAAAGTGATCGGTTGAACCGACCAGTGGCAGGGCTCCGCGGTAATAGGCCCTTGGGCATATTTATCCGGGAGTGTCGCTTTGTTTCTCCCCTTGATCACGTGTAACACGTTTACTGTTTTGACTTCTGGTGGAAACTTCTTTTGTTCCTCAGTGTCTTGCTTGGGAGGTTCATCCTCATCTTCGCTTGGTGTATCCTCCCCCTTGTGTACGGCGTTGAGTTTGCCGGACTGCTTGAAGACCCAACATTCTCTATGGGTATGATTAGCGGGTTTACCAGGGGTGCTATGGATCTGACATACTTGGTCCAGAATTTTGTTTAGGCTGGACAGTTCATCTCTGGCGCCTTTAAGGGGCGGCTTTTGCTGACTTGGCTGAGAGATTTTGAATCCGGCGTTTACTGTCGTGCTCTTCGCGCTGTCTTCTTTATTCCGGCGTTTGTTATTGTTGTTGCGCCGTGATTTCCCGTTTCCATCACTAGCTTTGGATGTACTAGGGTCGCTGGTGCTGCATCTGGCTAGCCAGCTATCCTCACCCGCGCAAAAGCGGGTCATGAGGCTTGTTAATGCTGCCATTGTTCTCGGCTTTTCTTGGCCGAGGTGTCTGGCAAGCCATTCGTCGCGGACATTGTGCTTAAAAGCTGCCAAGGCTTCGGCGTCCGGACAGTCGACTATTTGGTTCTTTTTAGGAAGAAACCTATTCCAGAGCTTTCAGGCTGACTCTCCGGGCTGTTGAGTTATATGACTCAAATCATCTGCGTCCGGAGGTCGGACATAAGTCCCTTGGAAATTTGCCCGGAATGCATCTTCGAGCTCTTCCCAGCTTCCGATGGAGTTTTCAGGGAGGCTTTTAAGCTAGTGCCGAGCTGGCCCTTTGAGTTTGAGGGGTAAATATTTAATGGCATGGAGATCATCTCCCCGAGCCATATGAATGTGGAGGATACAGTCCTCAATCCAGACCCCAGGGTCTGTTGTTCCGTCGTATGCCCTATGTTTACGGGTTTGAATCCCTCTGGAAATTCCTGGTCCAGCACCTCATCGGTGAAACATAGGGGGTGTGTGGCGCCCCTGTATCTGGGTGTGCCGTGGTGTTCGGATGTTTGGTGTGTTGCATCGTATGCTGGAGCGCGCTTGCGTGGTCCATAGATGGATCTAGTTGCTTCGTCCTTTTGATGCGAGCCCTGCGTGGATCGCGTATTGGCTTATGTGCGGCATTGCTTGCCACTCCATGTTGGCCGTGAGGTCGTCTATCCGGCCGGGTGGCCATTTTAATTTTTGGTTGCAGGGGATCTAGGGCCTCATCATCGAATTCGGGTAGTAACTTCCGCTTCGGGTAACTCTTGGTGGGGCGATTGCCGCCGTATTTTGCTACTGCGTTGAGTACTTTGCTCCATCTGATTTGGAGCGTGTCTTGCGCAGCCTTGAGCCTTTGCTTCTGCCTTTTTAGACTCCTCGCGGTGGCAACAAGCCTTTGATGGGCATTTTGTTGCTCCGGGTGTCTGTCCGGTGTTATGTCCTCCAGACTATTATCTTTGACAGAGTTGGTTTGTTCGGTTTGATTCTCCGCGTTGCCGTGGTCCGGCAGTGGTTCACCCTGCTCTAACATTGGGTCTATATGATCGTTATTTCTGTCGAGGCGGGATTTGGGGCGGCGCTTACGCTGCCGCTTTGACTGCTTCTCGAGGGGACAACCCTTCGTTGCATCCTTCCATTCCTCCTCGTCGTTTTCCTTTGGTGTGTCCATCGTGTATACGTCATGTGATGAGGTGGACGTCCAGTGCCCTATAGGCAGTGGTTCCTCTTCGTCTCCCGCATCGTCGTCCATACCGTTGATGTCTTCGGAGTCGAAGCCGAGCACGTCGGTTAAGTCATCGATAGTGGCTACTAAGTGGGTGGTGGGTGGGTCGCGAATTTCTTTGTCATCCGCATCCCAGTCCTGCCGGACATAGTTCGGCCAGGATCCTCCTGATAAGGAGAGAGACCTTAACGAGTTCAGTATGTCGCCAAAGGGCGAGTGCTGAAAAATATCCGCGGAGGTAAACTCCATGATCGGCGCCCAATCAGATTCAATAGGAACGGGCGCAGGCGGTTTGGAGTCCATGGCCGGAGAAGGATCCGGTAGTTTATCAACACGGCTCTCGCGCAAGGTAAGGTCGATGTTCGGCTCGATCGCCGCTGAGGGTAAGGCCTCTGTGGCGGGGTTCATCCACCCGTCCGCGAAAGGCGCAACTGGCTCTGAATTGAGGGTCGGAGCGGCTGCCGGTGAGACCTCCTGAACATTGTCCGATGGTAGAGCTAAATCGTACTCATCGTGACCGCGTGACGCACAAGGCATAGGCTCGAATCCGTCGAAGATCAAGTCTCCGCGGACATCGGCCATGTAGTTTAAGCTTCCAAACCTGACCTGGTGGCCAGGGGCGTAACTTTTGATCTGCTCTAGATGGCCAGGCGAATTGGCCCGCAGTGCAAAGCCGCCGAACCCGAAGGTCTGTCCGGGGAGAAAAGTCTCACCCTGGACTACATCGCTATCGATGATAGTAGGAGCCATCAAGCCTAACGGCGACGACATAGAGGAACTCTCAATGAAAGCACCAATGTCGGTGTCAAAACCGGCGGATCTCGGGTAGGGGGTCCCGAACTGTGCGTCTAGGCCGGATGGTAACAGGATGCAGGGGACACAGTGTTTTACCCAGGTTCGGGCCCTCTTGATGGAGGTAAAACCCTACGTCCTGCTTGATTAATACTGATGATATGGGTAGTACAAGAGTAGATCTACCACGAGATCAGAGAGTCTAAACCCTAGAAGCTAGCCTATGGTTTGA